AAAAAAAAAAAAAAAAAAAATTAAACCGGGTCGGTCAGGGCTGGGATTTCTAGCAGGCCAAACAGGCCGGTCCAGACGGGATCAACCAGCCGTCACACCCCGATACCCGTCCCCCTACCCTTTATGTCATCTCCCTCCGATCTGCTAACCGGGCCATCTCACTCCGGTCTGCTAACCGGGCCAAATCGATACCAGGTCGGGCTGGGACGAGATCGAGACAGCCCGACCCACCTGTCACCCTTACTAAAGTCCGACATGAAGTTCAAACTCTTTATTTGGTTTTCGAATGATGAGTGGTATTTTATCACTACACTGTCTATGGTAATCACTGTTTCCATTCTGTTGGAATATTGCTCTTAAATCATCTCAAGTAGTCTTCTTAGCACGGTAAACAAGAGATTCCACTAATTTTACGTATAGTTGATCCTTCAGCTATCCTATCCTAGGTTCAATAATCTTGTTAACCCTTTTCTGGTCTACTTTCTATCTTCAACTTTCCAATCCTGGGTTCAATAATCTTGTTAATACTTTTATGGTCTACTTTTATCTTCTAAAATTTCAGATAGTATATTTTCTTCCAGTGTATGCGAGACAAAACAAATTAACTCCACCAGAAAGTACCATCACTGTGGACAAATACTGATATGTCAGAATCACCATTTCAAGATAACTAAACTATAGAACCACTTTGCACGGCTAGAAGCAAAAGAATTGTAGCTAAAACTTCAAGGGTTACCACATATCTGATCTTTTGCACGGCTAGAAGCAAAAGAATTGTAGTTAAAACTTCAATGGTTACCACATATCTGATCTGCAATTTTTCCTGGTCAAGTTATCCATGTTTGCGTTCAGAAATTTAATCTGCATTTCTTATCAAGTAATCAATTACAACATTGTTGTGAGACGCGAAAAATCAGCATATTTTATGTTACAGAATCATAATCACATAAATATCTAAATCATGAAATGGACATATCATCGCATCATCTTCCCCCAGCCTTAGCTCCAATCTGTAGGTTGTTCATCTGCTCAGACCCTGTTATAATCTTGTGATGTTGCTCTGCATAATTTGAGAAGATGCAAAGGTCCAGTTCCATTTAGTTAAGCCGGTTGATCAGTTGAAAGCCTGAGACCTCTATATTTTCTTACAAAGAAGGAAACTTCAGTTTGGCATGCACATCCCCTATTATTCTTGGGCATCAAGGTCAGGTTTTGATGGGTATTCAAAACCATGAAGAGCAGGTATCCGTCTTAAATCTTCTTCAGAGTAAGCTGGAATGAACCAATATCGCTTGTCCATACCAAACACCTGATCCATATAATACAATCTTAGAACGGTAAAATGACACATATCTAGGGTTTCTTTATAAATATACAACTACGCCTTAGTCCCAAACAAGTTGGGTGGCCTATTATATGAATCCTCACGTCTCCATTCAAGCTCAATTCATGTCGTCATTATACCAAATAAAAATAAAAGCGAACTTCTCTTTCTAAATTTGAAACATACACATAACATGTAACACGATGAAGGCGAGAACCAACAAAACTCGATTAAGGGGCTGACCATGCAGGGGAAGTGACTGATGAGCGGGGTACCTTAGCTTATGCCAGGTTGAAACCTTCCTTTAATACGTCCCCCACAAAAAAGCAAAAGAAGAAAGAAAAGAATTTCCTAGTTCTTTGACCCAATACCTAGTCGGGACCAGTTTGGATTAGACTACAGAAGCTAATTTTGACTTGAGTAAGTTAGAGCCCAACCAGTTTGTAAACCAAAAGTGCTTATAAGCTTAAAAAACGTAAGATGGATTTTATTAAAAGGTGATCGATTAAAAGGACTAGGAAATTCTTTTCTTTCTTCTTTTGCTTTGGAGATCTCCAATAACTAGATCTCCAATAAAATCGATTACCTTTTAATAAATTGGAGATCTAGTTAGTTTTTGCCCCTCTTTTTGATAAGAATTGCAGCTATATTTAGTTATGAGTCTTATTGGTTTTTAAGCATAGTGCGGTTCATTCAAGAAATTCTTACCTCTTTCTAGTAATTAATAAGACACTAATAAAAAGTAGTGACTAAAATGGGTGAAATAATATTAAATCAAAAAGAGCATTTTATGTCATTTTAGGCAGAAAGAGAAGCATAAAGCCAATAATGTCAAAAAGACTTGGAATTCAAGGCCTTTCCTCCGCAATGAGTTTTTATGCAGAGTTCAACACTTCGCTAAAACACAAAAATCAGCCCTTAACAACCATTTGGGGCACTTAACGCATTCCAATATGTCCTGTTCAAGCAACACGGGGAGTAATAGGAAATAGCATATATTTTCCAGAAAATGTGTATAATAAATCTTGTGCTCTTTTCTTTTATTGTCAAGGTTCTAATTAATAGATCCTATGATTCTAATTCAAGACTAGTTGCAATTGCAAAAAATGAGTTTAACCGTACCTCTCAACTGCTGAATATCCAAAAACAAATAGTCTCATTCCCCTCTGCTTTTTGCTCTTCCAGCTTTTAAGTTAGTTTTCTTCTATACTAAGTGTATAGAGCCTCCGATCTTGCCAAAAGAGCATCTCATGAACATACATAATTGCATTCAAATAGAAAATGATGCCATAGTCCAGCTGACACTAGGTCTTATACAGAAGGTGATAGCTTTGTCTAGAATAGTGAGATGCAGTAGCGTATCTAAGTAGAGGTGTGTGGGTTCACGTGAACCCATGCTCCCCTTCCTAAATCATGGATAGCACTGTCATATCTCTTCAAAACTACTTAAATACATATGTATGCACCCAAGTTCAAAGAGGTGTATGATGCAATGGTTACCGGGTGCACCTCTATTTTTTTAATTCATTATTGGGGGGCACCTCTATAAGTGAGGTTGAGGGTTCAATTCCCACGCGTTTTAGTTAAGTACTTTTTTCTGTCTGTCTTTTTTTTTTTTCTTTTTCACCAAGTTCTTTGTTTGGTATGTTCTTTCAAAATCCCAAGTCTATTGAAATTACTATTCTCCTTTTCTAATAATAAAGTTTTATAGCAGCACTAGAGGATGTAGCATAAGTCAATGGGTTCAACTAGTTCCCACACTTTGGACACAAAGAGTGTGTGTGTGTGAGAGAGAAAAATCATTACAATTTCAAAAATAAAAACTGTAATTTGTTCAATGTAAGAACCTAAAGGTTGAACCCGTCAAATTTAAATCTTGAATCCGCCTATTCATAGTTCACACATCTTGAAATCATGGATCCGCTCATGGCGACAAGTAGGTGATAGCTTTGTTGACTATGATCATTCAGATAGCATAAGGAGGTTGACCCCATATTCAAAAGTTAAAAGAGGTAAACTAGAAAGTAAAGATACAGCACAGAAGTTGCAGTTAAGTTTACCCACAATTCTTGTGTTATACTTTCTCAATCATTATTCATTAAACTAATTGAATCCGTCATTGTATCATCGCTATGAGATAACAGCATTTTTGTACAACGTGCTTAATTGACATCACATGTGTGTATCCTATCGTGTCCTATCCAGATCCAGAAATTCACTTTCCACATACCTCAGAATGAGCACTTAGATCCAGTGTAATTGAAAGTGTTCTTTCTTCTCTAAATTTCTGTTGTTTTTCACATTCCAACCATAACTTCCAGATTATTTCCATGAATCTCGTGCTTCATTATACAAACCATATCTTAAATTTAATATCAGAGCACAACATTGTTTAGAGAAGCATCTAAAGCATCTATCTGTTCTATCACATAGAGAACAAACATTCTATCAGAACTAAGAAAATAACTATGGCAGTCTTGTGCAAAGTCATCTAACCTGTTCAAAGTTCCTCTTCCGACCAAGATCATAACGCCATTTTGGAGTGGTCTTCTTCTCATATGCCTGAAAGCAAGACAAGCCTTCAAAATGTGCCCAAAACAGTAGTTTAAAAGCGAAAAGTGCAAAGAAGCGACAAGGTCCATGGGGCCTGAAGCGAAAACGAGAAGTGAAGCACACACTTCATTAAAGTGAAGCGCACAAGTCACAGAAAATTAAAGTGACAAACATATATGAATTTAGTACTATAATAATAAAATTGCAATAAACTAACAAATTATCCAGTTCATCAAAGTTGAGACTCCAAGAATCAGCCGCTTCTCATTAGGATCAATTTGATCCGTTATTATTTGAAGCTCACGCTTCTCTAAAACGCATAGTTTTGCCCATGAAGCTATAACCCCTCGCTTCACATCAGGTCATCACTTTAAGCAAAAAAGTGATGGCTTTCAATAACAATGGCCCAGAAAGCCTTATAGAAAAAAACTGGTTTCATTAGGATCAATTTGATCCGTTATTATTTGAAGCTCGCGCTTCTCTAAAACGCATAGTTTTGCCCATGAAGCTATAACCCCTCGCTTCACATCAGGTCATCACTTTAAGCAACAAAGTGATGGCTTTCAATAACAATGGCCCAGAAAGCCTTATAGAAAAAAACTGGTTTCTATTAAGACAAATGATCCTAATATTTCTGTTGCATCCAACTCGGGGATTAAACACCACCAATGATTGAACTAATGAAACCAAAGTAGATAGCTAGGCTGGTTGGATGTTCAGTACTTCAGTTGACTTTCAGAAACCCTGTTCCCAAGTCTATAAAGGGTTATCGAGTTTATTAATTTTGTGGGGGGTCATGTTCTGACTTGAACGGCCGCCACCAGATCCGCAGGTAAATCATAGGCTCTGGGTACATCTCTGGCTTTAAACAGGAGACCTAATGTAGGGAAAGCAACAGGAAATGAGAATTCTTTCTATACTTAAATATCTTTTTTTTCTCTTTTGGGAGTGACTGGGAACATACAAGAGCAATCTTCATGGTTTGTAGTTGTGGGAACCTAGTTTTTACAAGGTGATTGAACAAAGAATCAAATACAGATGATTCGACAATTTATCTAGCACCAGATACTTTACCAAACCGAATACAGAAATTATAAAACTAGTTTTGACCTTACAACTAAAGAATTATGTGCACTGCATTAAGGATGTTTCAGATTATTAGGCCTTTCATAGAAGAATAAAACTAAAAACTTCAAGTTAAAACATGAATATGAAGAGTGTAAGTACCTCAATAGTTGTGGTATTACCGGCCACCAAAGATATGTGCATAATTAGAAATCCCAGAACACTCAAAGCAAATGCAAGGTTCAAGACTGAAATGCACAATTAATGTCGTAATTAAGAGGACTGATGGATCTCAAAAAGAAATCATAGATTGGGAGTTTCAAAAGACAACAGCTAAACCTTACCAAAAGCAAGAAATGTGGTTGCGAGGGTGCCCGGAGTCCCAGGTATCTCTCCATCACTAAAGAAAGCAATAAATTGTGGCAATAATGATAAAGTCACAACAGTGGTTTCCAGGAATGTGTAGAACTGCAGTAAGAAAGGTTATACTTAGTTGGAAAAAAGATGGTTAATATAATATTGCAATGCAAAGAAGTGCTATGAAAATTCCCCAATATGTATCTTTACGTGCAAGTTGAAGCATACAAATATCAACTGACAGGCACCAGCATGGAGGAAGAATGTGGAAAAGGATAAACTCTCAATATCAACTATCACTTGCAATACTCTAAGAAAACCACATTGTTATAACAAAATGGCCAGACGAATTTTGGCAAATGGCATGTTACAGGAAACAGTAATAGAATAAGTTCCTCACAAATTAACATTAACAGATTAACTACGATCACTATGTTCGGATCCGTACGCAGGGATAAGTGCTAATATCCCCATACTGCATATTACCGGTGGTCGTACATCTAGCAGGATAACATCTTCAGGAGAAACATGTCATATATGAAACTCCTGCTATGCTTTTATATAAGAAACATAAAACTTACAACAGCTCATAATTATTGTAAAACAAATCCAACCAAGGTCGGATTTGTGAATACGGTTTGTAAAACAGCAAATCAATCGAAATACTCAGATCACTCACACACACACACACACACACACACACACACACACACACCCAAAACCCCCAAAAAAATGACATTTGTGATACAAGAACATCGAAAGCACTCCACTTGACATGTAAGCAATGGCGGGGGTTGTAAAGCCCCGAAATTACTACGCGTGATAGGGATTAATCCGGGATTTAAGAAACTAAGTTGGAAGGAGACAAAGGCACAAAGGGAAGCTCAGCTACGCATGGTCTGCGTAGCCAAAAACAGAAGGTGAACCAAGAGGGCTTCAGGGGAGAGGCCTCCTAAGTCCTACGCATGGAAGGACATATCATACGCATGGGAGACCAACTCCTATGCATGGAGGCCACAAGCTACGCACAAAGAGGCTCTTACGCACGCACAAGGCAGCTTCCACGCTAGCCATCTCCTACACCCAGCAACTGCTAGCACATTTGGTGCGTAGCTACGCACCGCCATTTACAGGGAGTGGCCAAAATGACCTAGGACCAAACGGCCCAGCCCATGCATAGCTACACAGGTGGGTGGCGGGCCTATGCAGACCACTTTGGTCTATTTAAAGAACACAGCGGGGTGAGAGAGTAAGAGGAAATTTGAGCAAGTTTTTGAATCCTAGAAAGAATAAGGAGCTCTTCCACCATAAATACACCCCAAGATAAGCATTTATTATTGATGCAAGACCTAACACATTTATGATTAAAATCCACAGGATTCCACCAAATTTCAAGAATCTATACGAGGATCATGAGCTAGGGTTTTGAACCCAAAAGGTAATATCTCTACCCCATGTTCAAATACAAGTATGAGAAAGATATTTGGGGAGTATAATGGGTTGAGAATCACCATTAAAATGAGAAGATACACTAGTTCTTTAATGGGTCTTATGAACTAGGGTTTATAATGAATAGTAAATGGGTAAAGACTACTGTGGGAATCTGGTGGTGATTTATGTCTAGAACCTATTGTGTTGTGTAAATTCTTAATAAGTTGATTGGAACACAAGGTAGGAGTAAGGTCTGCGTACGCACTACCCTCACCAGACCCCACTTGTGGGATTTCACTGGGTATGTTGTTGTTGGAACACAAAGAGCTACATTAGCTTCGAGACACTTAAGGTATGTTGAGTTGAACCCTTCCATAGAATCGTTTCTCCAAACTCCATGTCTTCTAAATGTTAGCTACACGACTAAATGGATTTCAAATTGTTAGTGTATAATTGTGGGTGATAAGCAATTATACACTATGCATGTTTTCATCAAATGATGTGGTTTCAAATGCTATGCTTCACATGACGAATATGATTATGAATGTTTCAAGGTTTTAAATGAAAATGAATATGATGCTAAAGCTTTTCCCAAAAAAAATGAATATGACTCTATGGTTTTTCAAATGAAGGCAAACGAATATGCAAATGGCATAAGAATTATATGTGGCTATTGAGCCTAAACTTTTTTTGTTTTTCCAACTGCGGCTTAGCCTAAACTTAAACACCATGATTAAGGGCCAAAAGTACCAAATGAAAATAAAAGGTTTTGGGAGTATCCTTAGATGACTAAGAAGGTATTTGCAAAAACGGCCAAATACCCAAAGCTACACGTGCCAGTGTAGGACTATGGTCGTATCCAATGGTTTGGACGATTAAATAATCACCTTTGGTTAAGTTATTAATGCTAAAAAAATTGTCAACACCCACACGGCATTGGTAGTGAGACACCCAAGCTGGTCAGGCTATGATCGGAACTCCATGGGTACACATGATGGCTTATAATTCCCACTAAAAGTTATAAATTTGTTTAAAGCTCAAACTCTAAGATGTTTATGAAATGAAAATGATATTGTTTTGAATTGCATTTGCATATTATCTCTTCATGCTCTTTTAAAATGTCTTGTCCCATTTCATGTGAGGGAATCGACGAGGTACGAGTACTTGTTGTTGTGTACTCACATACCTTCGCTGTGGCGCTGCATCTCTTTTGTGGACCCTCGCTAGGCACCTCCCTCATTCCTTCCGTCTTTTGGTGAGCCCTATTCTAAGGTCGGGTGGTCGGGGTAATCCTATTGATGACACAGACATTAATATTCTTTTTGATATAGTCGGGGCCTTGTCACCGGCAATTCTTTATTCATATTGTCATAGAGGCTCCATAGACATAGTGGGTCATGTTATGTCTTTTGTCATTTCCTATTGAGGTCTCATTTGGCATGTATGAATAACTCTTTCGTTATTTACAGTTTTACAAGTCTAAATCATGCATGGGTTATGGTTATTAGGCCATGACAGGTTGGTTCGCTGGATCAAAGTAAGGCATTGATTGTCGTGTCTGCTTTCCTAGGTTGGGGCGTGACTGGAATGCTATTAAAGTGTCCAGAACTTAAATACAATGTTGTTTTAATTAAAATAGGGCATAGACTACCTATGTTACTATTAGGGCAGAAGCCCAACAACCAAGGAAGCGAGTTGGTAAACGAAGAAATTTTATCTTCCTCAACACAAATCATCAATTTTTTATAAGACAATATTTTATTGACGTTGTCAACAAACATAGTCATGCCAAGGGAGTAATTTTAGAAGCTAATAGCCAACCATATATAAACTTTTCAACATTCATGAATTATGATTACTTACCAGGAAGAGAAGGAAATACTTGTAGTTTAATGCTCCAACACAGTTGACAACCCACACACAATGATGATCCATCTTTAGCACACACCTTCCACCTAAAACAAGCAGACGCAACTCAATCGCAAACGAAATAACAGGAAAAAAAACCATCAATACAGTGAACAACAAGAACTCACAAACAGAACAGTGATGGCACCGAGGCGGTTTTAATTGGTTGCACTTTCTACAAAAACGTATTCTTGGATTCCCTGAGTCAGCAGGCGAAGCCCCAAATTCTGATGCAGTTAACGGGTCAGCTTCCCCTCTTTCTTCATCCAATTCCGGCCTCCAATTTGGAGGCACACTACCAGGATCAGTAAAAACAACCGAGAAATAACACCACAGAAGCATCAACAACTGCAATCATCACAAATAAGTACTAGTTTAGCTACTTAGTAGCACAAAAGTTTATCTACTCTTACAAAAATTACTCATCTTATTATAGGGAGAAGCACATAAGCCGCGGGATTGTAATTCAGGAATGACTAAGAAAAAAACTTAATTTTAATTTCCCAAATTCCATAAAATATTCGCCTGCACCTCCCATCAAAACCCGAGGGGAAAAAAGTTAGAAAAATGTAAATACGTTAAATACCCAAAAATCATCAAAATTTATTACTAAACCCCCTCAAATATTCCTAAAGTACAAAAATTTGGAAGAAATTTACCAGACAATGGAATATGATGAGTACTAAAAAAGCGATGAGGGCATCAAGGAGACCGCCACTGCTAGCAAGGGACGGCCCATAATTAGTCAAAACGACGGCGTAATAAGTAACTCCCACAACTCCCATAACCAAAAGGATCATGATCGAACCAAGCCCTCGTAAGGCCGTACAAAATCTGAATACGTTCCATGCCATTACAGCTCCCGATCTATACATAATAACAAAATAAAATTACACCGAAAATCAAACGAAACAAAAAAAAAAAGGGCTCTTTATGAGGAATTTCTTAGGGTTTATGAATTTATAAAAGTATGTAAAGTGGAAAGCATTGGTGGGTGATGGAGTGAAATAGTGAGTCAGAAGGAAAATTGGTGCTCGTCAGAAGGATAAAATTGAGATTTGCAGAGGTAAGCTGGGAAAATTTGTGCACCTAATGGGTACTTTACTGTATTTTAAGATTGAGGTTTTGTTAAGGTAATATTATTGTATTTGTATTAGAAGAAAGTAGTGCTCTGCATAATTTGTTAAATACCGAATTATCGTAGCGAAAAGAAAAAATTTGATATTCGGTATTCGATATTTTAGTATTCGATATGGTATTTGGTTTAGTTTTTAAGAAAAATTAGTATTAGGTATGGTATTTGGTATTTTAAAATAAAATACCGAAATACCGATATCGTACCGAAATATATATTATATTATACAATACACATTTTATTAATTATAACATAAGTACAAGAAATCTAAAATTTTACTTTGCTTTATTCTCGGAGTTCATCAATTAACTCTAAGCAATCAACAAGACATTTCTCTAAGTTTTCTCTCTTTAGGTTGGTATATGCTAGTTTTGGACAAAACTTTTATCAACAAAGGTTTTTAGGTTTGTACTTTTGAGTATTTTAATTAAGAATATTACCATTTATGACTCTATGCACTAGTTAGTATTCAAACTGAATAAACCAAAGTTACCGAACCGAATAAACCGAAATCGAAAGAAGAAAAACCGAACCATACCGAATTTAATACAGAAAATACCGAACCAAAATATCTAAATATTGTACCGACCGACGAACACCCGTAGAAGAAAGTACTACACTTTTTCAAATTTCATTGGTCTAAATATCTATATTTATATCCATTTGTATCTATCTATATAATAGTAAAAGCACAAAAACCTTTAGCGAAATGTCTTTCGTCTTTTTTACCCGTTAAAATTTAAGTTCACATTGAACAAATTTGTATACTACAATCAAACTAAAATTTTAATTATTAATTTTACCTGATTGAACTATGTTTATAGTCCTAATATGAAATATTCTCTTTTTTATCATTTGGCCCGTGTAAACTATCTATTAGAAAGGTATTCTAAGCAAACCAATATTAGAACTCTTTGGATGACGTCCCAATAGACCAATATAGACACGTTGATGATCTTAAGATTATGCTAAGTTAATTGCTACATGTATAGTAATTTAGCCTCTAGGTAATAAAAGAGATGATAGTTGGTAAACAAATATTTTAGGGTTTCATAACAATTTGCAAGTTTTATGCATAATATAAATTTTTTAGAGTTAGGTTGTATTACTATATAAACTAATTATAATTATAGGACTTTAAAATCTATTACCTTACGTAAATTCTTTCCTTAAGTATCGGTGGCACTCTCTTGTCATACAGGATTCTAGATGCTAACCTCAACTTCATTCATCCTACCCCAATAAGGTGTGTGACATCATCGTCGATATCCAGGGGGGATGGGAGATCGACGAATATGTCACACACCGTATTGGGGTAGGATGGATGAAGTGGAGGTTAACATCTGGAGTCCTGTATGACAAAAGAGTGCCACCGATACTCAAAGGTAAGTTCTATAAAGTGGCGGTTAGACCGGCCATGATGTATGAGGCTGAGTGTTGACCCGTTAAAAACTCACATATCTAGAAGACCAAAGTAGCAGAAATGAAGATGTTAAGGTGGATGTGCGGGCACACTATGATAGATAATATTAGGAATGATGATATTCGGGAGAAGGTGCACGTGGTTTCCATTGATGACAAGATGCGGGAAGCGAGGCTTAGATGGTTTGGACATGTTCAGAGGAGAAGCTCAGATACTCCGGTACGGAGGTGTGAGCGGCTGGTTGTGGAGGGCACGAGGAGAGGTAGAGGCGGCCTAAGAAATATTGGGGAGAGATGATCAGACAGGATATGGCGAGGCTCTAGATTTCCGAGGACATGACACTTGATTGGAAGATGTGGAGGGCGAGTATTAGGCTTGTAGGTTAGGAGGTAGTTGAGTCTTGCCTTACTTCGTACCATTGTGGGACTAGCCAGGTAAGGTTTTTGTCTAAGATAGTTAGTGGCAATGTTGTGTCTTACTATTTCTCTTTTCAGTGCATGACCTATTTACTAGCTATCGTTTTTGCTTTGCATCTTTCTTCTGGATTTCACAGTGTTCTTATTTTTCCTATGATTGTTGTGGTGATACTAATATTGTTTTCTTTTGTCTTTTTATTTTCTTGAGCCGAGGGTCTTTCGGAAACAACTTCTCTACTCCTTCGGGGTAGGGGTAAGGTCTGTGTACACATTACCCTCCCCAGACCCCATTAGTGGAATTTTACTGAATTGTTGTTGTTGTTGTTATTGTTGTTGTTGTTGTCGTCTTTGGACTATGTAATATAACTAAATTAGATCGTTGAAATCAACTAATATTTTATCTATTATGTCCTTCCCTATTTGAACTACTACCATCTAAGCAATTACTGTATTTCTTTTTTATTTACGTCAGAAATTGTTAAAAGTATTTTTATAATTTAAAAATAATTTTATTTTATTTAAAAATAAATGTTACATTAAAAAGCTATAATTTAATTATTTCTGAATATTTAAGATTTTAAAATCAACTACAAATTCTTTTTGAACCTTTCTGATTTTTTTAGTTTATTTTAAACACGTAAGGAATAGTTATGCAAGTTTTTGTTTCAAATCTTTGTCCTAAATGAAATAACCGAAGCAATCTAACCTATGCACACCCCTAATACTAATATAGATCTTTAATAAAGGGAATCACAACGCAATTTCTCTTGGGTTCACCAAAGCACTTCGGTTTTATATCTTTTTAGTTAAGTATATTTGTTCAATTAAAGTACTAATTTTAAAAATCAAAATTAAAAAATATAGATATCATTATTTCTTCTTTAGTATTCTTATGTATGAGGTGTAATTGAAGCTTTGAATAAACTATAATTGAGATTGAAAGCATATCATATTTGTATTTCTGATAGCGAAATATTGTTCGCCTTTTTTACCCTTTTAAAAATAGAGTACACACTAGACGATATAGTCATTTAACTATTTTCCTCAAATTTAGAACTTCAAAATCACCTAATTTTTTTATATTATCTTTTTTCTTATTTAAACTATATAATACCATATTTATAAAACTAGTCTTAGGGTACGCACTTTGCGTGTGTACCTATATCAATAAATATATAATTTTTAAAAATTATATATATATTATTAAATAATGTATTTGAGTTATTGAAAAAATATTAAAGAAAAAAATGTAAGTTTCTAAATATAATGAATGTTAATCTCACTAAGCTAGCTCATTAAATAAATAAATCTTACTCCATATAAGTCTTTATATGTCTTATTATGATTTATGAGACGTGGAATATATATCTTATGAAAATTATTATTATCTTTATTACCAAATACTATAAATAAATTTTTTTAAAAATACTTTACAATAATTATTCAAAGATAATAAAACAAATTGAAGTATTTGAATCTTTTGGTCTTTTAGAAATTTGAGAGTGAAGAGATAGAACTATAACTCTTAGAAAAATATTGATAAATAACAATATAAAGTCTTAATAGCTAATATTGAATTACAAAAAATAATGTAATACGATATGAAAAATATAGGGAGTTATCATTTATTGAAATGAATATAAAAAGAAAGAAAAATGATAATGGCAATTGTTTTGAATATATTTTGTCTTATGTTATATTCTTATTGCTTCAACTTAGCATTTTAGCAATGTAACTTCTAATACTATATTATAATAAATTCTGCTCTATTTTCTTATTTCTTTCACGGCAAATGCTCTTATTGTGTAAAATAATTTGTGTACCTTAAAAATTTTATCAACTTGTGTCACGATCCAAAATTTTCCACTGACGGGACCGTGATGGCGCCTAACATTTCACTTGCTAGGCAAGCCAAATATTTCACTTGCTAGGCAAGCCAATGTTAGAGAATCATTAAACCAATTCCTTATTTCCATTCAGTAAATAACAATAATTAACTAAGATGAAATATAAGAGGTGCAAAATTTTATAAAACTGTATTAATCACTACCACCCGGATCTGAAGTCACAATTCACGAGCATTCTAGAATTTACTATAAGAAATAGTCTAAAAGAAATACAACTGTTTGAATGAAAGAAAACAGTAGGACATAAAAGATAGACGGGGACTTCA